CAGCCCCGCGCTGGCCACTCCGGCCGCCGCCGCGTGCGCGGGCGGGCAGCATTTGAACTTCTGACCTCTGTCAACTTCCCCCAGACGCACAAAACGAAAACAAATACTTTTTCCTTGGGCAGTGGCTACTCCAGCTCCCAGCACAGAAGGTTCGGGAAGAGGTGGCCATCGTGGGGTGGGGGTGGGGTGGGGAGCCGGCCCGCTTGCCCGTGGGCCCAGCCCAGGTCCCTGCGTGTGGCTGGCGCCAGAGGCCGGTGGGCTGGACGTGGCTCTCGCAGCTTCCTGTTCCTCTACCTCTTGCTGCAGCTTCTCAGCGACCAGGGGCGTGGGGGTGAGGGTGGGGGCCAGGGGCAGGCGGTGCAGGGTGGCCCTGAGAGGGAGGGGTGGGGTGGGCCCAGGCCTGGGAGGTTGGGGTCCTCAGCTGCTCACCTGCTGGCCCCTGCTTAAAATAGCCACCTGGACTGGGCGCCCAGTTGCGCCCCCCCTCCGGGTCCCCGAGCGTCTCCCTCGCCCTGGTGTGCCGCCGCCCAAGTCCCTCAAGCATGGCAAGATCGTCCCCAGAGGAACTTTGAGAGCAGTTCTGGAACGCGCGAGCTCCAGGTTAATATTAACTCGGAGAGGGGGAGGCGCAGACAGACACTCTCCCGCAGGCCGCGGGTGCCAGGCGCGGTCTGGGCGGCGGGGGCTCGCAGGGAGCGGGCGCGGCCCAAGCAAGCGGGTTGAGGGCATTTCTGTGGGGCCAGGCGCCTGGGGTGGGCTCCAGGGGTCCCCCTGTTGACCGGAGGGTCTGATTCCCCTGAGGGAGGGAGTGTGGCGGGAGGACTGTCGGGGATGGAAGCTCTGGAAGCTGAGGCAGCTTGCCCCTGCCCTGGGGAAGCCCGCGGGCGGCAGGCCACCCGGCCACGGCCCCCTGTGCTCTGGGGCGCAGCTCTGCGCAGTGGGGAAGGCGGCGAGCGCAGCCTTGGGGAGCAGCCGGGCCTCCCGGGCCCACACAAAGCGGGGCGACCCCGCGGGGCTTCACCGTGGCTACGCCCAGGCGGCCTGACTCGAGGCCCAAGACCCAGCGGTGGCCACCGGCCCGGCTGACCGGCGCTGTCGCGCGGGTGCCTGGGGCCCGAACCGAGCATCCCGCATCCCGCGCCGAGGCGGGGGGCGCGCG